ACTGAGCACCCAAGCACCCCCAAAATGAGGCTTTTTACTTACTCTGCTGTCAAAGCTGGAAATAATTTCCTTTTTTTTTTTTTTGTGAGTATTTATTTTTGAGAGAGAAAGAGACAGAGAGACAGAGAGAGACACGTGAGCAGGGGAGGGGCAGAGAGAGAGGGAGACACAGAATCCGAAGCAGGCTCCAGGCTCCGAGCTGTCAGCACAGAACCCGACACGGGGCTGGAACCCATGAACCGTGAGATCATGACCTGACCTGGAGTCGGATGCTTAACTGACTGAGCCACCCAGGAGCACCTAATTTCCTTTCTTATAATTTCTTTTATTATGCATCTGTAGAAGACAAAAGTTCAGAACTGTTTTCACACCTGGAAGCAGTGAAAATAGCCTGTTACTGTGTCTGGTCTTACCCTCACTGTGCAATTTTGACCTATAACCTGCAAACCAGCGTGAGTTCTTCATCTGAGAGAGAAAAGTATCACCGTGACCATTCACTTCTCCAAAGATGACCTTGCTGGGAGATCACTGCATGGCCTATGTCGCTGGCAGGAAAGCTGGCAAATGACTCTGCTCTTCAGGGCTGGGGCCTCACTCAGGTCGGTCACCTCCATTTTCACTGGGTGTGGAGCTTGGTTATCTGACTTTCTGGCGGCCAAGTTCCAAGAAGTTTAGAAACTCTGAGTCAAGTTTACAGAAAACCATAAAAAATTAGCAGAGCAGATATTAAATTAAAACAAAAAGACACAGGAACTGAAAAGTCATGCCAGTGGGGTGTCTTTGCACGTAGGTGGTGTTACCTGGTATTCACGAAGGTGTGGCTGAAGAACCAAGCAAATGCTAGGCACTTGGTACCTTTAGAAAGCTGAGAAGTGAGAACATTTTTCACGAACGGTGGTTAAGGTGGCCTCAAAGAGGAGGCTTCAGCAGGGGGGTGGGACATTTGCTCCCGTGGAGCACCTGCTAATGGCTAAGGCGAGGCAGGTGAGGCCCAGTAGTGCTGCGTAGAAAGCGAGGAATGAAAACTGCTTCTGGACTCCGAGGGACTCAGGAGGGGCTGGCTGGCAAGATGCTGCATAGCTAAGGTCTAGGGACAGGGGCGCTTTAAATCTGTATTCGACTTGTTGAAAACATATTCGTGTTTTACTTTTCTGTCGGCATCAAGACGCATTATGGAGATGCTTGTCACGTTTGTGCTTCGCTATCAAAAATTTTAAAAACCGTCTGTAGTGCTATCTGAACTGCTGTGTGCAGGCCCGGGCAGCCTGGGAGCCCCCGTCTCTGTGTCAGGACATTCTGTGCCTGCCTACCTCGCTGCGTGCGTGCCCAGGTCAGCACTTTGTTGTGCCCTTGGTTAAAGAAGGTTGGACTGATTGTCTTAATTTCCAGAGGGGGAAGAAGCCAGATCACACGGCCTAGAGGGGTCCTTAACTGGGCATTTTGGTTCGGTGGGGGCCAGTCCTGCTACCAGGTGGACTCTGTGTAATAGAGACTCGAGGCCCGGACAATCCCTGCCTGAGTGGGCCTGTGTGAGGCTACCAGGGTCCAAAGAGCATCTTTTGGGTGTCAGACGGGTGCATACTGATGGTCCTCAAACCGTGGATCCAGCTACTTGGGCTATTTTGATGACTTAACTGGACCTAGTTGATTCTTGTATCATTAGTTAGAAAGATGATCAGATAAGCCATTTCTTAACCATAAACTAAAAGAGGACATAGCAAGAACGACCCAGGACCCTACTCACCCACCATCACTCAGTCCTTTCAGACTCCAAGGCTGCTGCCTGGAGCTTCTCAAGCAGGGTTTCGGCTTCTAGCCCAAGGCTTTGGTCAACATTTAAATACAGAAACTGGGTGGGGAGCCGGAGCTTTACATCGGACAGTAGGGGAGGGCCGTGCAGAAAAATTGGGGAATGAGCCATGGAAGAGGGAGATAGAGGTTCTGAGGATCAATTTGTCAACTCTGACTTTAAAATTTTGCTGTGGTTTTAGTCTCGGCTGAGCTAATGTTGTGATGGTCATTTTTGCATACTAAAATGCAGGGCTCGGGGCGCCTGGGTGGCGCAGGCGGTTAAGCGTCCGACTTCAGCCAGGTCACAATCTCGCGGTCCGTGAGTTCGAGCCCAGCGTCGGACTCTGGGCTGATGGCTCGGAGCCTGGAGCCTGTTTCTGATTCTGTGTCTCCTTCTCTCTCTGCCCCTCCCCCGTTCATGCTCTGTCTCTCTCTGTCCCAAAAATAAATAAACGTTGAAAAAAAAAATTAAAAAAAAAAAATAAAATGCAGGGCTCTAATCTGAGTCTTTTGCATTTTCTTATATTTCTGTTTATTTTTGTTAAAGTTCCTAAACAATTACTTTATAAACAAAAACAAAAGTTATTTTTGAAGTTTTTAATGGAACAATATATACCTGTAGAAACACACTTTCTTTGGTCTGTTTTTTCTCATAGTTTCTAGCTATATTAGGCTTTATAAATACTTACACATTTGTTCGTACATCTGTGCCGTGCACCAAGCCAGGTGTGGGAAATGTGAGTCACCGGAGGTGGGTCTCTGCCTCTCAGGGGCTGGCACCTCGGGGGGCTGACGGGGTCTTTAAGGAAAAACACGTGTGCTTGTGCCTGCACACACAGCACGCCTCATCGAGAAGATGGGTGCATTTTATCCCTCATTTTAGTGCTGAGATTCTCTTAAGATTTTGGGATGTCCCACTTCCAGCTGGAAGAGAGGCAAAGAATAAAAGTGTCAGAAGACTCATCTTCCAGGTACTTAACTATTCCATTTGTGACAAGTTTTGAGTTTAAGGATCTTAGATGAGAAATTTCCTACACAAATGGACAGGAGAAGACAAAGACAAGCCTTCCTGGCGGCACATTTTCCGAGAACCGCGTCTGTCTCTCTGTCTTCTCCAGCTCGTCTGCCAGGTGCCAGCAAGTCTCTGTGTGCCAGGCATACACACGTTTCTGGATTCAACTAAATGGTGCACATGTCTGTTCTTTGAAGCACCTTTCCCTCTTTCCTTTCTCCGGTTGATGCGTGTTTTACATATGGGCACACCAGTGGACCCAGAGCTGGAACATTTCCAGAAGCCAGGGGCTCCGTGGCCTCCTCCCTGTCATTGTCCCGTCTCACCACCCAACACGGTTGTGTCAAGGCCACAGTGAGGCAATGAGGAGAACACTGGCAGGGCCTGGCCGTGCAGCATGGAGACAATGGCAGGGCCTGGCCGTGCAGTATAG